CGCAGTTTCAGTTTTTTTTTAAACTGAAATCAATCTCTGAATAAAACTACCAAACGATTTTCAGAAATGAGTCCAAAATAAAAATAAAAACATTTTTGTTTTTATTTTCATACAAAAAATAAAAACGTTTTGGAAACAATTCCAAACGCACCCATAATGTTTGGCTATACATTAAACTTTCCTCTTATATGTGCCAGATTATTGCACTCCACAAAAGCACCACGCAGTACTTGGTCTCCCCTAGCTCCAATTTTTTTTTTTCTTTTTTTTTTTTTGCTTCTCTTGGAGTTGGAATACCCTGCAAACAAATAAAAATAAATAAAAAGGAAAGAGCTTATTAAGCATATGATTACATCATATTATCATCATCCAGCAAATCGAACATTAGCTTTGTTTCTTATTTTTTATTTTTTGACCGTTTGTGGTAAAGAAAATATATGTAGTTTTGCAAAAGAGGGTGAATTATACGCACAAAATTTGATAGAACTTGATCAGAAAGATCCAATGGTTGAAAGGTCTAACTAATTTCCAAATTCTCTATTTTTCTCTAAAAAGTCCGACACATTTTCATTGGAATAGCTTAAAAGGAAAAAGTACTTGAAAGTCTCATCAATAATTCTCGGCTGATTGATCGCCCAACAACAAAAGAAAAAAGAGAAACAATAATAATCGACAAATTTTTTTTAAAAAAAAAAAAAAGGCAAACCTGGAAATCGTTATTGACAATCATGCCGACGGTCCAAAAAGCAGTGGCGAAGAAACACATGACCATCTGAATCTCCAACACCAGGGAGTAAGTAATCTCCTGCTTCGCCTTCTTGTAGACCAGCTCCATCAACGGCAGGATGAAGCCGTAGAGCACCGCTGCCCCCAAAGTCATGAGGAACCCTACCAAGTACTCCTTGCTGTTCTCCCCCTTAGGCCGGTCGCCGCTCGTGTGGAACGCCAAGACGGCGCCTCCGATAGTAAGCAAAATGACGGCGATCACGGAATGCGATGTTAACTTCTGCTTGACGAGGAGGTAGGCGAAGGCGGCGGTGAAGACGAGCTGGGAGGCGATGATGAGAGAGGAGGTGGAGACGGGGAGGCGTGCGACGCCGTAGGCGTAGATGCAGTCATTTAAGCCGGTGAGGAGGCCAACAGCGGCGGAGGCGAGGAAAAGGAAGGGTTTTATTTTGAAGAGTTTTGCAGCTGGGTCATGGCGGCGGCTGCGGTGGAAGTGCTGCTGCTGTCAGTGTTATTGCTGTTGCTTTGTTCTTCTTGCATTTCTGTGCCTAACATGGAATAGTGGGGTTGATTCATTTTATTTTATTATAGGAGACAGATAATTAAGACTCAAGAAAGTGACATCTCCTTATCGGAAAATGATCTGGTTTTTCGCGTTTGCTTTTTGGCGTGAGATATTAATAAGGGAATAATAGTTATAAATGGAGTACTAGATAGGTATTAAATTATTAGATGCTTCTCTTCTCAAAGTCACTCTCATTCTATATACAAATATAGTAACACAGTTCGTCTGTCCTAATTGCCTGTCCATCCAGTGTTAATTCTAAGAAAAGCTTTTGACAAACGTAACTAAACGGATGGTTAAAGGCAAAAGTTATGGAAAAAGAAAAAAAGAGAGAAAAAAAAAAAAGCAAAAGGTGCTCTGATAACACTGTTTCTCCCGGGTAATTAAGTGAACAAAGCAAGAGTAGAGAGAACGGTCAGATTTGATTGCCGGTGCCTGGAGCGAAATTAGTCAAATACATTTTCTTGAACTGAATAAGAATAAAGAAATTACTTCTACATCTGAATAATTCTATTCTTTGCTTCTCTGCAATCTGAGTTGGACAAATACTATATACTGATCAGACGTAGCTACTAAACCACTCATCGTCAACGAAGCCACTTTAACCTCTGTATCGGACCAAGGATATATAGAGCTGATCTTCTTCTTTTTTAATTTTAATATGTCAGAGCTTCTTTTTTATTTTTTATTTTTTTTTATTTCATAGCTTTTTAATTATTGTTATGCTTTAATTAATATGTCAAAGCTATTTAATTATTCAGCATATCAGCTTTGTTAAACCGTATGTGGCTCTTGCCCATCATTCTAGCTTCGATGCCACCGTTGATAATGGACTTGTCAGAATATCACGTGCTATCATAGATAGTGTTGGAAAATAATCTGTCTTGCTCTTCCATCACTGTAAGATGTCTAATTTGTCATCATCAATTACAAAATTTGATTCAAAATATTTGACTAATTCTGAAGACGCTCCATGTATTGATGACAATCCTGATGCTTTCTCCTTCCTCTTCAAAAAACTCCACGATGAACTTTAGGCCATGAATTGCTCATTGACGTCGAAGTTGCCTGTTCTTGTTGTCCTGTTTCGTATTTTTTTTCATACAATGCAAATAAGTGTTCTAACATTTTCCTAGCATCGTCAATGGTTAGTTCCATATCAATATATAAATTATCTGTTGTAGCAGACATCAAACATTCAGTCCCATCTAATCCACATCTAGGATCTAAAATTATTACTAATGCATATAAAATAGGACAAATGGCCCAATAACTTTTAAATTTAGCTTCCATTTCATAACCTATGGGTGCAAAAAGATCAGTATCCCTGTAATAAGCAAATGTTTCTGAAATATTAAATAATTGATGCAAAGCTAGATGCGCAGTAGGATAATACACACTAGAAAGTAATTCGGTAGCGTTGTAGAATACTTGTAAAAATTTTAAAAAGTACTCACCAATTTTCTGATATGCATCATAAATAAAATACTCACCATGCTTACTCTTCACGTACGTAGTGATGATTTGTTGATACGGAATTGCAGTTTTCAACATTAAGTAGGTGGAGTTCCACCTATGTCTCACATCTGTTAGAAACTTTCTTGGCCGCATCTGGCTATTCTATTGTCAAAATTCTTGGAGCCGAGTTTCAGAACTAGATATGAAAGATAACGCTTTTCTAATTTTTTTTAGATGATGGGATATAGATTCAATATTAGCTTGTACTACTAAATTTATTATATGACATGCACAACGTTGATGAAAAAATTCTCCACCAAAAGGTAGTTTCAAATTTGCTTTGAACATTATTCATAGCAGTGGTGTTTGCTGATATATTATCAAAAGTAATTGTTAAAACTTTATCTTCAATGCCATAAAAATTAAAAATTTCCATTATAATAAAAAAATAGCATTTGTATTATGTGGAAAAGGACATAAATGAAAACCAATAATTCGCTTTTGTAAAACCCAATCCCCGTCAACATAATGCACTGTGATGCATAAATAACCAGTTTTATTACAACCCTCCCAAAGATTAGAAGTGCAAGAGATTGTAGCATTGAAAGACCTAAAATTATCAACAAGTGATTGTCTCATTGCATAAAAAACTTTCATGCAATCAGCTATAGTTGTGTTTCTACTTACCCATTTAAATTGTGGATAAAATGCTGTCTGAATAAATTCTTCAAATGCTGAATCATCTGTAAAAGAAATTGGTAATTCGGCACTAGCTAAAAATTTAGCTAGTGCCTCACGAGCACATTGTGCATCATAATTAAAATTTTGTAAACCTTGTGCTGCGAGTGAAAGTGTTTGTTGGCGGGAATCTACACTACCACTTTGGTGTAATGGTATACATGCTTTCCAATGTATATCAAGATGGTCAATACCCCCACCTTTTTGTTAGAAAAGTATTTTTTTCAATATTGACATACCGCACGCATTTCAACTTCACATGTTTTTGGATTAGGTCGTAGCTCCTCAGTCAAATGTTGCCATGCAGGAGCAGTGCGCACAGTCTATTTTCCCTGACACGTTCTCCAACATCCTCATTGTGCACCGATTGATTATTAACCAGAACATTATCTGCATCAGTACGGTTGGAGTTGTGCATCAAAATTTCATCATTGAAAATTGGTTGATCTTTAAAATCAGGAAAATCAGAAAAATTTTCTTCCGCCATTTTTTGTAAAAAAAAACATAAATTAATGTTAATAAAAGGGTTTATAAACAATAAACAATGTAAATAAACATTAAATAGAAACAAAATATTATACAAAAAAATAATGAGCACAGTACGTCAGTACCTTTGTTTTTTGGGGATGTAGTGGAATTTGATTGAAAATTGTAAATGAAGCAGATAAGAGAAAGTTAGGAATTGAGAGAGAAAACTAAGAATTAGAGAGAGATAGAGTTATGAGAGTGAGAGGAGTTGAGAGTTGAAAGAGATGTAGAAGAGTGAAGAATGTTGTGAGGGAGATAGGGTATTTATAGGGGTTTTGGGATGAAATTTTCAGTTTGTTACTGTTGGGCACATCACAGGCTAGGCCGGACTAGCCGTTTCCGACCGTTAGGCTCGTGACGTGCTGGGCCGCTTGTGACCGTTAGGCACGCTGCGGGGTCGTGCCAAGCCTGGGCCTCGCACGGGCCTGGACCGTGCCAGGGCTACGGGCTGAGAAATTGAGGCCTAACCCTAACCCAGTACAGGGCCGGACTGGCCCAATTGACAACTCTAATTATTGGTAAGCAACTGAAAATTGAAACTTTGTTTGGCGTACATCAAGTGAGATTTCTTCAAATTTAACAAATTAGGTTAAAAGGTTGATGGCTTTTTGTGAATGACAATTACTGAATGTTGTATTTATAACTTGTATAGTGGAGCAAGCAAGGAAAGTTGTAACTTATTAGGTTTAACATCCTATAAAGAATTGGATTAATGTAGGCTCGTAGTGATTAGCAAGGTATATATATAGAGTAATTTTCACAGCGGAAAAGAAGAATGGGAAAAAAAATGTAATAGTATCTACTTTTCATTTCTAGTGCAAACAGATTACTGTCATACAACATTTATTGTTGCCTTTTTCTTGTTCTTTTTTTTTTTTTTTTTTTTTTTTTTTTTTTTTAAGACTTTTTTGACTTTTTCGTTGTTCTATTGGTACGGGACCATGTAGCTCCAACACGCCTCATAATTATTTCCAAGAGAGAAAAATAAAATAAAAAAAAGGTCGTACCCTCCTCTCAATTGTACTCTGCAAAATTAAAACCAGGAATCCATTTATTTTTTTCTCCCTAATTGAAAAAAACAGTATTAAACACACTAACAGATACGAAATTCGTACTTTTCCTTTCTTTAGCATTTATACGAATGCCAAATCACCAAGTATAATTGTGACCCATATAAGAAGAAACGATAAAATGCATTTAATTTTGTTCTCATGGATTTAGCATCTCACTTTCTGGTTTTAGGCTACCCTGAATTTGAGGAATTTCCGCTTCTTGGATGAGCTTCTTCTTATTCTTCTTGTTTTGTTTGAACTCGCCATAGAAGTAGGAGGCAAATCCCCAGAGAGAGAGTACAAGGGAGAGACCTTTCTCGGCTGGGAAACTTTCTTTGTAGAAAATGACACCAAAGACTTCAGTCACCGGTAGAAGAACCGCAATAACAATGCCTGATAGCAAAGATGAGGCACAGTAGACGACTCCTACTGCTCCCAAGAAGAAACCTTGCCAGATTATTGCACTGCACACAAGCACCACATAGTACTTGGTTTCCCCTAGCTCAAATTTCTTTGCTTCTCTTGGAACAGCCTGCAAAAATTTAAAAAACAAGGCTTTATTTAAGCATATAATTGAATCACATCGTTATCGAGCAAATCGAACATTAGGTTTTTTTTTTTTTTTTTTTTTTTTTTTTTTTTTTTTTTTTTTTGTGTTTTTGAACCTGTCGTGATAAAAACATAATTAAGTTTTTGAAAACTAATAAATTAAATGAAAATAACATCAAAATTAGATATATATATATATATATATATAATTTGATAAAAACTCTGACGGTTGTAACTAATGCATGAATTCTCTCTAATGTTTTCTAAAAAGTTGGACGCATTTTCAATGTAGTAGCTCAAAAGGAAAAAGTTGAGAGACTTGTCAACTTTGACTGCAATCTAATCATTTCTGTTCTAATTTTTGCGCCCTGCGCCTCTTATAATTAGAAAAAGAAAGCGTTTTTTTTTTTTTTTTTTCCAAGTACTGGAAATGAATGCTAGCCGTTAGATTGATCTTTTAACAATATGCTCTATGAGTGGTTCTATTTTTTTATGTTATATAGTACATATTTTTAATGTGGACACTTACAGATTGAATTGAACAATCTAAAAACTAATCCAAAAGTCTTTACTAACTTTCATATCATAAAAATTTCGACTACAAAATTTAGTAGGAAAAAGATAAAAACTGGCCAACAATAAGAGAAAAGAAATATTTTTATCTCTAATTAATAAAACCTCGGTTCTGTCATCGTAATCCTACACATGGTAATAATCATAAACAATCATGTTAATAGGATAAAATACTATAGACACAACTCCCGTGTTAACTCTTAATACATTTAGTTTAATGGAATGATCAATCGAATGGAATGATAATTTCTAAAATCCAGTCATTTTAACATTTGGCTGAAAGAAAACGCTACAAAGACTATTCTTATGGAATTGCTATTCATCAAATGGTTAAATAACCATTTCTAAAGCGAACCAGTTAAATGATCATTACGCGTCAAAAATTAATATTAATTAAACTTCTCTCTCCCTAAATTATCTCATGTTATAAAAGTTACTTTAAATACTCTTTTCACCATCTCAATTCCTAATATAAAAACACATTTTTTAAGTTTGTTTTTACAATAACTTTGAAGATAAATATTTTAATATTTGCTTTATATCTATTATTTTGTTGATATGATCATAGGTATCACATTAGAGATATTTTATGTTAGAAATGATATTGATGCTTTTAAGTATTCTATATAGTTTACTTTTATTTTACTCTCTTGACTAATTAGTCATACATAAAAGTTAAAATTATTTAAATACTAGTCATATATCAAATAAAATATCCACCTTAAATATCAAGAGAGAAAATAACTTTAGAAAATATTAGAATTTAGTTTTAAAACATTAAAAATAATTAAATAAAGAGATAGTTTAGTCAAAACGTATACTATTCAATTTTATTCCAATAACTAACTAAATATAGTAATTGTGATTTGATCAATTTTAATTATAATATTAAATCAAACAAAAGAATTTGAATAAATCTCTACTCCCATTATATTATATTCTTATTCTTATTTCCACTCCATCCTGTCGAAGTAACGTTGCGTTATGATCATACACACCAACGTACAAAAGAGGGGTGATCGTTGAAAGTAAGAATCCAACGATGAGACAAATGACGAGAAACCACATGCGAGGAATATGACGAGAAATCACTTGCGAGGAATAGAATATTAGATATATGAAGATTATAGAGATCTCCGGACTTTTTTTTTTCCCCCTATAGAAAAGATCCCCGACGTGTTTGAAAGTATATATATATTTTTTTCTCTCTATTTGACTATCATGTGCAACTCTTTTGATTGTTCTGAAGCGGCAGTCTCCAGACTCCAGAGACACGTTATCAATTAATTAATAAAAAAAAACTCCCAAAGTTCAACAACAACAACTACTATTAATTTATCAAACAAAATAAATCTGGTTATGCTTAGCTCCCAAAAACCAAGGAAAAAGAGAAATAATAATAAGCGATAAACCAAGAATAAAAAGCATAACCTGGAAATCTTTGTTGATTATCATCCCGACGATGCAAAAAGCAGTGGCGAAGAAACACATGACCATCTGAACCTCCAAGACGAGGGAGTAAGTAAGCTCCTGCTTCGCCTTCTTGTACGCCAGCTCCATCAACGGCAGGATGAAGCCGTAGATTAAAGCCGCCCCCACTGACATCAGGAACCCCATCAAGTACTCCTTGCTACTCTCGCCCTCAGGTCTGTCGCCACTCGTGTGGAGCGCCAAGACGGCACCTCCGGCGGTTAGCAAAGCGACGGCGTTTAATGAATACGCCGTAAACTTCTGCTTGACGAGGAGGTAAGCGAAGGCGGCGGTGAAGGCGAGCTGAGAGGCCGTGATGAGGGCGGCGGTGGAGACGGGGAGGCGGGCGACTCCGTAGGTGTAGCTGTAGGCGTTTAAGCCGGTGAGGATGCCGACGACGGCGAAGGCGAGGATGAGGAATGGTTTTATTTCGAAGAATTTGGCGGCGGGGTTTTGTCGGCGGCGGCGGTAGAAGGAGAAGGCCGCGGGGAGGAGGATGATGGGCCAGCCGACGGTCTGGAGACAGCTGGAGAGCCAGACGCGCTTGCCGCCGTTGATGAAGTAGAGGCGCATGATGAGTGGCCCCCCGCAGTTCCCGATCCCTAGGATGATGATGTTCAGTACGAGGAGGGCCTTCTGCGCCTGTCTGTCGGAAGTGCTGCTTCTGTTATTGTTATTGTTATTGCTTCTGCTTTGTGCTTCTTCCATATCTGTGCCCATGGGAAATAGTGGCGATGAATTTTTTTTTTTTTTTCAATTTTCTTCTCTATAGGAGAAAGAAGACTCAGAAGAGTGACGTTACCTAAGCAGACAATGATCTAGTTTTTCGTCTTTGCTTCTTGGCGTGAGATATTAATAAGAAATGATGGAGAGTAATAAATAGAGTGTTAAAGTATAAAATTATTTTTAGTCACACTTCTCAATAGTTTAAATTTTTAGGATGGATTGATAAATTAATACAGTATTAGAGAGGAAGGTTCTGAGTTTAAATTTCCGTAATTACACTATTTATTTCCACTTAAATTGTCATCATAGATGAGGTCTTTAATATATCTCGGGCTTAAGCTTTCTAATTAATTTACTCGCACGATTGTTCATTGTCCAGTCCACACATGAAAGAGAGTGTTAAAGTATAAAACTATTGTTGACCCATCTCTCAATAATTTAAGTTTTTGGGATGGTAAACTAATATGGAGTACAACTATTAGTAGTTGAATATTATCAATACAAATGTGTATAGTCCCACATTAAAAAAATGCTTCTCTTCTTACGGTCACTCTCATATTAGCCGCTGATCTTTCAGTCGATGCATTCACACTATGCCACGTTTCACATTAAAAAAAAAAAATGCATTCACAATAGTCTATTGAGTTTAATAATGAACGAATATGCCATTTTCCCTTTTCCCTTCTTAATTTCCCTAGTTCTCTCAATTAATGGACCCACAGTAAAGGCCAACTAAACTAGTAAATACGGAGAATATAGACGAGAAATTAGTCGAGATGAAAATGAAGAAATGAAAGAAAAAGAGAGAGAGAGAGAGAGAGAGAGAGAATAAGATATGCAAGATCAGTTTAATGATATGCCCTCTACTGTCCCTCATCGTCCATCCCTATCAAATGGGCATTGGATTTCCTGTGGGTTGAAGTTGAAGAAAGAGAGAGTGGCACTTCTGTTATTAAACTTCAAAGGCTCAACTTGTTTTTAACGAAGTTAAAATAAAATTTTTGCGAAAATCGAGACATGAACTCAACGTGGTGTATTGTTAATGTAGCGGCTGATAACGCGGCTGGATAGGTGACCGCCCTTAGCATGACTTCAAAACGAATTTGAAACTCCCCTCCTAACAATCACTCTTTATACACACTAACGCGCTATTGGCGTGTGTATTCATTTATTATTCTCTTTAAAGTTTGGTTTGGTAGATCATTTAGTAAAAACAAAGTATAAGTAGAGCACATCTAAAAGGGAAAAACGTTTCTAGTCGAGATCAGACAACAAATATCTACAGGTACGGATGACAAAAAATCATTTGATACAATTACGAAAAATGTTAATTAAGTAGCGACACATTTGGAAGTAAATATTTTCAGCAGGGCAATTAGGATAAAGAAATACTTATGAGGATCGCATTTTAAAAAATGTTTAGACAATCTTACATTTGAGAAAAGTTATTTCAATAAGAATATATTAAGATAAAAAAAGCTTATTAAAAGACATTTAAAAACACAAGATATAAATCACTTTTGAGAAAATAATAACTTAAAAGCATCACATAGAAAAAATAATATATAAGTAAGGGTATTCACGGAATCTGTGAATCTGATCAATCTACCTAATTCAATTCAATCCGACGGATTGGATTGGATTGTGAGGGGTTTTGAGTTGGTCCTAGATTGGAATAATCTCAATTGAAAGGTGTTAGATTGATTTGCGGATTAAGCATTTTTCAATTCTCGAAATCCATGAATTTTAAACATATATAATATATATAATTTTTTTTAGGTTATGTTTTAATCTCATTTTGAGTTTTACTGAATCTAATTTGTCATTGTTAAGTGGGTTGTAATTATTTAGAATTTGTTGAGCTATTTAATGTTATGCTGGTTATGGATGTTGCAAACTTTGTACTTTAAAGTAATATTGATAAAAAAATAACTTCATTTTGTGTTTTATTTTGTATGAGTATTTAACATACTTATTAACTTTAAAGGTCCTAATCCGTGGAATCTGTGAATTCAATCCCCAAAATTTGATAGGTTTTGGATTGATTTGTACTGAGTCAGAAAAAGTTTTGTATTGGACATGAATTTGAATTTTCCCAATCCAGTAGTTTGGGATTGGATTGCGGATTAAGCCTAAATTCACATATTCCAATTTGTGAACAGTACTCCTGTATATAAGTAAGGACTTATTAAAGAAAAAATATTTTAATAGGGATAAATCAGAAAAAGGTGCTTTAATGAGTCATAGTTAAAGATATAAAATTATAAAAGACATAAAAATAAAAAAGGACTCAATTAGAACGAGCGTTGTTTTGGTCGAAACTGTGAGACAACAGAGCGCACATTAGTTGTTTCTATTTAAATGAGAATATATATTTTAGTATGGACAAATCCAATGAAATAAACACAAAACCAAAAATTAAATAGAATAACCAAGCATAAAACTATCTAGTATATACGTGTGAGAAAAAATGAGACATTTAAATATATAAGAATTTTTTTTGGATGGTAAACATATTAATATTTTCTCAAAGTAAATAGACCAAGATGCATGTTTTAATCAAACCGTTTTTTTTGTCAAATATTATGTATGTATAGACAAGTACAAGATATCTATGCAAAAAATGTTGTTTTCGAGACAAATTTCATAGAAAATTAATTAAGGTACAAATGACAAAACTATTCAAGGTGAATAATATTTAAACAGGGGTACATATCAGAAGAAAAATATTTTAATAGGTGAATTAGAAAAAAGAAGTAGTATAAAGGCCGCGTTCGAGAAAATCATAAAGCATGTAAGAAACTAATTTAAGTTAGGACTTACGCAAAAAATTATTTCGTGATATGGTGAAGTTAGAAGAAATAAATGTTTTGATGATATAATTCAGTAAAATAACAATAAAATTATAAGGGAATAAAGCAAAAAGAAGCAAAAAAGAAAACAAAATAAAACGATGAAAGTTAGAAAAGCAAAAAAAAAAAAAAATGAGAATGAAACTTTAAGCTCAATTTTAAGAAGTAATATTTAAGAAGATGTAAAATAATCTTTAAGTGAGACTATATATGAAAATGATAAATTAAATTAGGTAAAAAAGTATTTTGATGATACACATTTGAAAATAAAAGGTGTAGGACTGTATAGGGAATAAAAATAAATAAGGAGAAATAAAAATAAAAGAATAGAAATAAACTTATGAAAGCAAGAAAAAGCACGAGGAAAATAACATTATAAAAGTGCAAGAGTAATATAATGAAATGGCTAAAAGATGGAAACTTATTTAGGGGTGCATATAAGAATAAAAATATATTTACGGAGGCATATTAGAAAAAGAGCAAAAGAAAGTAACATATATAAAAGTGTTAAAGCAATTTCAATAGATGGAAAACTATTTAGGTACGTAGGAAGTAAAAATATATTTACGACGGTAAATTTATAGGAACAATATTGCAGAAGGTCACATCTAACAAGTGAATAATAGATAAAAAAAAAAACTATTTAGAGAGCCTTGTTACAATTGTATGAATCAGTTTTTCCATGAACCTAGATGTGAATTGTGGCATGATTCAGGAAACATTTTTGCACAATTAAATTAGTGATTAAGACCTTTGATTTCCTGGTCTCATAACCTATTTTCCAAAGCCTAGAAAAGGCGTCTTCCACAAGAAGAAGGAGCACCATTGCACAGAGCACTCTTCTCTCATTCTCTCGAGTTCTTGCCTTTATGTTTTCGAGTCTCTCTTGTGTTTCTAGTTTCGTTTTGGTGATAGAGGGAAGGTCCGAGTTCTAGTTCGCCGGACAGTTCCGAAAGTGCATCGAGCTACCGTCGTTGTCATTATATCATGGGAGACGTACGTCCTACGTTACCTCAAGCACACGCCAGAGGGGATGAATCTGTTTTAAGGAAAACGTGGTTCACGTGCCTTAACATCCTTGCAACTTTCATTTCTGAATTTTGGTAAAAAGGTTGAATTACAATTGTATGAATTCCGGTTTTGTTCTTCCTTAACTTGTTCCTCTTTGTATTATCCACTATTTCGGCTAACAGCTGGTTGAGTTATTCGGTTTTAGGATTTCACCTTCATTTGGCCGACTCATCACCTCAAGGCTAACACGGGAAAGACAGACTCATACACCACTCGCAGCAAAGGCATATATGGATTTAGGGACACTATATATGTTTATGTAAGCGAATTAAAGAGCATATTTCTGTAATTACACTAAAAGCTTAACAATCATTTTCTCTTTTCTCTATTTTGTTAAGTAATGTTCATATGATATTAGGGCTTTAATTTTAATTATACTGTTGATGGCTAAATTTCATCAACAGAAATACGCCGGGTTACCTAATGGTATCTCGTTGGGTTATCGGCTGGAAATTAACTGTATATTTAAAATCAGGCTGTGAAGTGTTTGTTGTATTTTTAGAAGCATGAGTGTAACGCTTGAATGCAAGGAGACACGAAATTTATAGTGGTTCACTCTGTTAATGAAGAGCTACATCCATTTGTGTATTGTATTTCTCTTTGGACTTTTACAATTTACATGCATGTATATTCTCTCTTTTATTCGATAATCAAGAAGTCCATCCCCTTCGTGCATAGAGCTTTGCCCTTTTTATAGCCCAAGCTTCCTTCGGGGGTGGTTTTCCTTTGTCGGTAGAAGTACTCGAGTGGTCTATCTTTCTAGGCCTAGACCGTAGCTTACTAATCACCTTTTGAACTGTTCACTTAGCCAATTGGTTTTCTATTACGGCTCTGAGGATTCCTGTAATCCTTCACTGGCCACTGTAGGGCGGTTTAGGGGATTGCAATTAATGTTTGTTTACAGACGTCTTCCATCTTTAGACGCAACTTGTGATGTCAGGCTCCTTTCTGAAGAGTATTCCCCTTATTGTCTGCGTTGCGTAGACCTCATGTCCTTCTTGGCAGTCGATCATTTCCAAGAATTCTTATTGCCATAAGATCGACGACATGACTGGTCAACGGTATGCCGGGTCGACGTCCTAAGTCAGGCCTTTCTTTACAGCGTAGAGGGGAAGCGAGCTCCAAGCGTCGAGGGTTGTCGCCTTTTTGAGAGAAAGTAGGGCCACGTGTCATGTTGTCTCTGTTCCACA